AATACATGGGTTCATACAATCAAACCTAACATACAGAACTAGGGTTTCCCATACCCAGATGAATGGGAGAACTACTCCATGGAGAGAGAAGCAAAAACAGAATCAGACGCGGAAATCATACTGTGAAGATGGATTTCTGCTCCTGGACGTTGAATCGGCACTTCTCCAAGCTCAAACCAAGCTCCAATGGTGTTGAAGATCGATCTAGGGCACTTGGAGGCTCTTGTTCGTCGCTTTCTCTCTCTAGGAACCGCTTGTCTCTCAAAAACTCGAATCCCCCTCTGTTCGGCTCGGAATCCGCTTAAAAACCAGACTTTCCCGACTCGCGCGGCCAGGGTGCACGGCCGTGCACCTCACCATTCTGGCCGTGCGACTCAAAACGCGGCGTACCATTAAGTCGAACCTCAGCCAACTCGCACGGCCAGGATTGCACCTTGCACGGCCGTGCGGATTTCACTTGTGCCCGTGCAAGCTCTCGCACCAACCCGCACGGCCAAACAGGTCACTTGCACGGCCGTGCGGGTTTCCTGCTCTGCCCGTGCGTGCTCGCATAATGTCGCACGGCCACAATTGTATGTTGCACGGCCGTGCGACTTCCATGGCTTGCCCGTGCGTGGCCTCGGCAAAAAGCGCACGGCCAACTTGCTCACATGCACGGCCGTGCGACTCCCTGGTCTGGCCGTGCAGCCTCCTTGGAACCTCGCCATGCGTCCGACCTTCGTCCAATCGACCCCAGACTCGCTCCTAAGCCTTCATTCACGTCCTAGGACCTGAAATATCACAACCAAGCACAACCTAGCGTGAAATCGGCCTAAAACACGAGAATCAATACATCAAACGGTGTAAGAACAGGGGCGAAAACATGTGTAAATAACGGTCTATCAGATATACTGATTGATTTCAGTCGATTGAAGTGTGTTTATTGAGTCAATTGAATCCTGATCAACTTCTTTTGATTTCTGCTGCAACCTGAGATAGATAGAATCTGATTAGGTTGTTAGAGCTTCTTCAATCGATAGGAGTGAATTGATTGTACGAGAGTCAGTCAATTCGATCACTACTTTGTACTGGAATCTGTTTCCAGTAGTGGAGGTCTATATTAATTGCCTTAGCATTCTATCCCGGTGAAGACTAGTCATCTGTTGGTTAGTCTGTCTAAGAGGGCTTGGTCAGGTTAAGAGATTCCAAGCTACTGTCGGATCTTCCACAGTTTAATCAATATTAAATCAACCAAAGGAAATTACAACTTGGACATAAGGACTCAATCTTGAGTGACTCTTCCCTTGCTTAAGAACTTCGAACAATTTACTATTTTTTTCTATTTATTTTGAATTCACCTTCACTCACTTAGTCCCGCTAGATAATAGAAGTTCACGGAGTAGACAGTAGATCTAGACCCCCGGTTGATAAATTAAACTTACCCACTATTCTTCATTTCCAGACTGCGATTATACTTGGTCGTAGTTTGGTGTTGTGTTTTAGCGTGTCAAGCACCATCTTTACAAGTTCCCTGTCCTATTTACCACACACCTCCTCAGTTTCATTCATCCATAGATGAAGGGGGGGCACACTAAGCATGAGGCAACTCCAGCCATCCTACTTCCGACTCCATTGAGCACTACACTTATTTTGACTCTAATGCACAAGAATTACATCCCCAAGCTGATATTGACCCAGATGATCCTAGCACAAAAGCCAATAGAAGGCCTCCAAGGCACATAAAATTGCCAACCAAATATGGTTACTATGAACTTGACTCATCTCTCAAATTTGGAGCATTTGGAGGTGCAAACTCTTGCACCAGGCATCCAGTTTGTTTGAGTGTCAATACATTAAGCAAAGAAGATTTTCGTTATGCACTGAATGTTCTTAATCTAGTGGAACCTAAGTCTTACTATGAGGCACTGAAATCAGATGTTTGGAACAGGGATATGAAGGAGGAAATGAATGCTTTAGAAGAGAATCAAACCTGGGACATAGTGCCTTTGCCTCTACTTGTGAAAGAGATTGGGAACAAGTGGATCTTTGGAAAAGGAACAAAGCCAGACTGGTAGCTAAGGGGTATACACAAGTCTATGGAATTGATATCCTAGACACATACTCACCTGTGGCCAAGATCAACATAGTGAAAACCTTTATGGCAATTGGAAGTGTGAAACACTGGGTACTAGAGCAGTTGGATGTCTCCAATGCTTTTTTACATGGAGATTTGGATGAAGTGGTTTACATGAAGTTGCCTCTAGGGCTGGAAGTGACTTCAGGAAGCAATCAAAGGATGACTTGTAGATTGAAGAAGTCAATATATGGCCTTAAAAAGGCATCAAGGCAATGGTTTGCAAAGTTAACAGGTTTCCTATTGAAGTTTGGTTTTCCACAATCTGCATCAGACTATTCACTCTTCACTAAGTGGACACGGTGTTGTTAGTCTATGTAGATGATATTATATTGGGAGGAGATTCAAGAAAGGATATTGAACAAGTGAAAACAGCCCTTCGCAAGGAGTTTAAGATCAAACTCCTTGGACCACTTAGTAATTCCTGGGTTTAGAAGTGACAGAAATGAGAATGTTTTAGATGTATGTCAAAGGAAATACTATATTGAGTTGTTGAAAGACACAAGGTACCTGGAGTCAAAGGGTTGTAAAACACCATTAGACACCAAGGTGAAGCTGACATCTCAGGGGACTCCACTTGAAGATGCAGAAGGCTACAAACGTTTGGTTGGCAGGCTGCACTACCTGACCATTACCAGACCAGACATAGCATTTGATGTTCAGCAACTATGTTAGTTCCAGAAGTCTCCTTGTGTTGTTCATATGCAAGCTGCTTACAGGGTTCTCATGTATTTGAAGTCCTCGCCGGACCATGGGATCCATTTTAGTAATGAGGCTGAGTTGAAGATGACTGGATATAGTGACTCAGACTGGGAAAGTTTCCCTAACACAAGAAGATCCATCACTGGATACTACACTATGTTTGGTTCTTCCTTACTGACATGGAAAACGAAGAAACAAACCACTGTCTCAAGATGATCTTCTGAGGCAGAATATAGAGCATTAGCTCATCTTGTTTGTGAAGTGGAATGGCTTAAGAGATTGTTTTCTGAACTAACAGTAGAGGTATCCTTACCTATAATAATCTATTGCGATAATAGGTTTGCTATCCATATAGTAGAGAACCCAGTCTTCCATGAGAGGACAAAGCATATCGAGATTGATATGCATGTGACAAGGGAGAGGATTAAGATTGGTTTGATTAAGTTGAAGTATATTAACACTGCTGAACAGCTTGCATATATCTTTACTAAGGCACTGGATCGTTTTAGGCTAAAAGAGTTACTTGTCAGGGGCTGACAGAATCGAAGGACAACAGAAGAACAATTACAGAGAAGAGTTGAGAAGAGTTGCAGAGATGGAGAATCCAGGTTGCAGAAGGATTCCTAGAACAGAGGAGACGAAAGGAAGAAACGACAACGTGTTGGCTTGACGACACCATTTAGCTTATTTTGTATTAATCGTTAAACGTTACTGTTAATTTGATTTTAGACCAATCTTCTAAAAACACCTGTTGCGTTTTTGTTAATCGCATTTCCAACTATATAAGCTGAAGGAAGACTCAGAGTTAGCTGAGCTTCTTCTCCAATCCTTCTTATAAAATTGTTAGAAACGGTATTGTTTAATTATATTGTGTTTTATTAAAGGTATTTGACAAAAAAATAAATTAAAAATATGAATACAAACATTGTCATAAAAAATAGCTAATTAACGGCCCAAGTTCCCGTCAGTACCATGGTTAGTAACAAAATCTCAGCATCAGATTTAGGTGGGCCAAGAAAATCTAGATCTAAGGGTGGAGAATCAAAGACATTTTTATTTTTCCTTGTTTTCTTAATCGATTCATATCTTCTTCGTTTTAACTCGATTTTTTTTTTGCACAGATGGAACAAGTTCGTTGTGCTCTACAAAATGAAATCCGTTTTCAATATTTTTTGAGAAATTTTTTTCTTGCCTTTCATTACCAATTGCATACCATATGGTATTTTCTTTGTTTTTAAGTCGTTTTAGAAAATTTTTGCAAAGAATGAACGAGTTCTCATGATCTATTGGATCTACAGATTTCTGGGTGAACAAAATACATGACAAAAAAACACCACACAATACCCCTGGTATGGGGTGGTTTCTTGTGGTACACAATATTGAAAGTCGTAAATGACATTTAGTAAATACCTATTATCATGTATTTAATATCCTACAGTCTTTGTATGTTCATACTACCATGATAAACTTTTTCATATCATATGATATATTCTTATCTAATACTAGTCAATACCATATACTGATAAAAATGGCAGACATTAGGTTTGGTGGGGATCGAATTACGATCTTAAAAGTTGAAAAGATGTAATCTAACGTATTAATATGGATTGAGGGTCAATATAGGGGTTGTTTGGAGAATATGAGTTTAAATTTATAGATTGTCAACAATCTAAAGATTCTAACTCTTCGGATTGTTGAAAATAGATTTTAAAATATTTATTGTTTGGTAACTGTGATTATTAACATTCAATGATAATAAAAATAAAAAATTTATATTTTATAACATGTTTATCCTTAATAAGAAATTAGAGTAGTTCGAGAAATATTAAAAACTTTGTTAGTAAATATATTTAATATGCTAAATAAATAAAAGAAAGATAAAAGGTAGGAGGAAAAAAAATCTCATGAATCAAGATATAGAATCTCTCTGATTATGAGAGATTTGATATCCATAGATTTTAGAGATTTGAAATCTCTAAAGTTAAAATCCTCAATAAAAAAGTAACAAAAAACATAACTTTCTAGAAAATCTACGGATTCAATGAATCCACGCCCTAAATCCCGTACTACAAACGACCTCATAATTCGGATCAATTTGAGAATTATTCATTGATAGGTGCTTGCACGGGATTAATGAGTTGCAAAAGTCAAATTCTCTACCCACCAAACCTATTGCCATATTATTCTCTACCGTTCGCTACAAAAGTCAAATTTTGCTTGGGAATTTTGGCTCATATTTGGCCTACCTTTGGCTCTGGCCTCTGGGTTCGTCCATTTTGATTTTTGCCGCGGTTGAAGGCGGGAAATAAAAGAAGAAAAAGCAGCCAAAATTCAAACGAAACAAAGACGGCGTCGGAACTCCGGGAGAACCATACAGCCGACTGAGAGAAAAGGAAAACCAAGCGAAAAAACGATAGAAATGGACAAGGGAAGTCCGAGCAGGCGAGCAGCGTCTTGCAGAGTCTACTAGATGCCATTCAATCTTCCGATGTAAGTAGTAGCTTATAATTTCTCGGTTCCACCGCTTGAATTCGTGAACATGGCTGAGTTTCTGGTACTTTGCAGGTCGTGGAGAAGAGGATTCAGCTGCTCGCTATTCTCGGTGATTTAGAATTGCGGGACGAAGCCGATTTGGCCTCTCTGCTTGAATGCCTTACCGTATCCGATTCTTTGTCGCTTTCACTTTTCTAGGTTAACAAACTAGTCTTTTGCTCTATGTATTGTACGCGAGCGAGATGAGGGTGGTACTGTTGAAAGCTCAATTTGGCCTTTGATAAGTTCTACATGTTGGTTGGTTGCAATCTACTACTGTCAATTGAACCTGTGCCAGTAGCTAGGTCCAAATGACCAAACTCAGGCTAAATCCATTCTGAATAAGTGTTGCTGCACTGCGTAGCTCATTTCAGTGGCACGAAATCGGTAGATTACTCCAGTATATCCTTAATAACTCAACACACGCTCTGGGAAGACTACACTTGCTTGGATGTTTCTCAATGCATGTTGAACAAAACTATAGTCCATGTCGCCGCGAAATTTGTAGGTCCAGCCTCATCCGATTGTTTGTCGTGGTTTCTTTCCCTTGGTAGCATGGTAGGCTACTATCTATCTGACTTAGCTTCAGTTTGTTGCCTCTGTCTTGGCCTTGGTTGACGTCGTTCTTGATGTCACTGTTATATTGCATTCACTAGGCCAGCTCATGGTGCAGAAAGCATTTGAAGATGACTCTGATGTCCATAGAAAGATTCTCAAGAGGAAGAACACAGCCGTCTCTTCTTTCATGTTTCTGGGACTATTGAGTTTGGTTAGTTTTCTCTCTCAGCCATCACGTGCTGTTGTTCAGTTTGTATGTCTTGTATTCAAAGGAGATTACATTTTAACTTCAATTTGAGTTGTCCAGACCAGTTGGTATCCACTTAAACAAATGCACTAATATAATGCTGTATGTTCAGTTTGAATGTCCGCATGAGCTTTTAGACATGTGTAAACCCTTTAGAAGAAACCAAGTCTCATGAGAGCTTCCACTTCCTGTTGTCTGCATTACATATGGCAGTTTCTGGAGTGTGTCTTCGTTTTACTCGGTAACTGAATCCCTGGGGTCTGTTTCAGACTAGTTTTACATTCTCGACTGATTAAGCAAGTAGTCTAATTGGTTTCCACATACGAGAGAGACCCTGCAGAGTTCTTCCCATTGAGTATGAAGATTAAGGTAGCTATATGTAGGAGAAACTATGCATGCTAATGCGTTAGTTGAGTAAACTCATGGCTATTAGATGTTTCAAATCTAATTGCATATCTTATTTCATGGAATATCATTCAGAATTGGTTATGTTGCAGCAAATTCGTGCTATTTCATGAACTGAGAATGCAATCATCCTTTGTACTTGTCTCCTCTCTCTCTCACTCGCACATTTTTAAGATTCTTCTTTTGCAGCTTCTTCTGGAGTTGCTCAGCCTATCTACTGCTAACATATTGTCTTTAACAAAATATCCACTTCTCAGCAGCAAGGAATTAGTAGACGTTGAGAAATTCATTCTGGAGCTGCTAAATATGATAATATATGTGGTCGTTGAGATTAAGGTAACCCAACCTTCTCTATAAAGATTTCTGTCATTAGGAATGTTGTTTGTCAAATGGGAAGCCAGATTGTCACCAAACGTAATAGGTCACTTTCATTATTTCTTGTCCATAACTCTGTTATTGACTATTGCTGATCTACTTTTTCCTTTTGCTAAGCAGAGGATTAATTCATTGGGTTCTGAAGTACTAAAGGTTGCACAAACATCAATTGATGCTTTGATAAATATGTGCAAGAGGTATTTCCAAATTATCAATGAGAATCTATATGATGCAAGTCTTAAAGATTCTAGTGCCACTGCACCGGAAGTGGTCAGTGTAAAAGATCATGTTCTAAGTATCACAAAATATATGGTTGAAAATTGTGTGAATTGGGGAGCCTAGCTGCAAGTGATGGTGGAAGCCTGGTCACCATTCTCAATGTGTCTTGGAAAGGTGTGGTTACTCTGCTTCAGTTGGGCAAGGAAGTAATAATGCAGACAGTAAATAATGCTTCAGTTGGTCACTATTCTCAATAGTACTAGCCTTCTCAGGATCCAGATAGTTTCTTCCTCAAGTCTGCTGTCGTTATTACCCCTTTTGATTTATGAATTGTGATAGATGACTCGTGTTCAGATTGATTCAGTGTTACGCATGATAACTATTGACTGAACTTCTCTTTCTTGTAGGCAGGTTAGCATATCTGATGTTGACTTGAAGACCCTGAAGTTTATAATTAATATTATTCAGAAATCGTCTGATGTTGAATCGTCTGATGTTGACTTGAAGCATCCCAAAGGTGAATCAATGAAGGAATGTTGTCTTATGCTCTTGAATGTAACATTAGAAATCGTCTCAGTGATGAAGCACCTATATCAATCAGATGAGATGGAGAAAGTTATAGAACTCCACGGTCTTTTTATCTCTGGTCCGACAGCTTCAGATTCTTGCTTGTACCAGTGCAAACCACATCTGGCACTCTTCATGGGAGGGCTTGGGGACGTGCAGATGTCAGAAAGTAATGATTGTACAAAGACCACCGCAGTGTGGGATTTATACCACATGCTGTTGAAGGAACAACACTGGGCACTCGTCCACCTTGTCATTCCATCATTTGGGTACTTTGCTGCCCATACTTCATGCAATCAACTTTGGAGATTTGTCCCACAAAATGCAGCCCTCTCGTATGGCGTTATGTCAGCAAGTGAAGTATCAGAGCAGAGATTCATGTCAGAGTTGAAGGCGTTCCTGGAGAAGGAAGTCGCTGTTTTAGCAACTGTCTCAGCCAGCTCCTAGCAACATGAGTTGCTTGTGAAGGAAGGAACCATACTTAGAGAAATGGTTCAGAAGGTTTCCAACATGCGCATAGAAGAGGCTACAGAATCTGAAGGCTTGTTGGGATCCAACATTGTTGACATCCAATGCAGCAAGAGAAGAAAACTTCCCGATGGAATTAGCAGAGGAGTTGAATTGTTACAGAACGGTCTCAAGTTCATTGGCGATGGTCTGTTTCAGTGGCAACAGAATCATAATGTTGAGTCCACTGAACTTCAAGAGAAGTTCTTAGCTCACTATTCTCGGCTTGAAGATGTGGTCTCGCACCTATTAGGCTTATCTGGCAGTGGCTGAAGCTTATCATTTCTTGCTGCTCGTCAGTGAACAGTATTCTCTCACGCGGTCTGAATTCACAATGAAGTTCATCATATATGTATATCCTCAGTAGTAGATCACCAATGACATGTAAATGGAAGTCAATCCAGGTATGCCTAATATTCTCTTAGCCATTAACCGTAAGGCTGGTGATTTAGTTGTAGGACTTTGGAACTTGATGAACTTGTCACTTCTGTTGAATGCACTAGATCAAAACTCATCTATTTCGCCAATTGAAATTCATATCTTCAGATTGTCAATAGCGGTGATGTTCTCATGAACAACCAACTACAAAATTACCACGAATCTTGGTGTAAACCATTGTTTTCTAGATATTTGATTGAGCTAACCTAGGTTGTATGGTCCTTGAAATATTCCTTACTCTATAGTGATCAAGAGTATCATGTTAATATATGGTTCAGGGAAGTAACAGTTATTTTTAGAGAAACACCGCCTTTTCTTTTGGTGAATGACAAACACACTTTTGGTCCTAAGTACAAACCAAAAAAGAGTTCATTATCTTAAAGACGAGAACAATGGACTGTTATAATGAAAGTGACAAAAGACCAGTACTGTTGTCTGGAAAAATGATTACAAGATTCGTCGGAGATATATATCCAAAGGATTTGTTCCCAAAGATAGGAATGGATTTTGCGCTCAAGTACACTATTGATTATTTTGGGATTACAGAATCAAATCGACAAAGTTGATTGTATATTTGGTAAATTGTTGACACTGTGTGGCCCATATGGATGCCTATTGGAAGAAGATTGTGGTTCATGTGGGGAAGAAACAAATTTGATAAAACGATCACGTTGGCACGGGTACAACCCATCTTTGAGAACATGTTGATTGGCGCACAGGATTATCGGATTGCAGAGCGCCCACATACTATCTGATGACGCTGTTCTTGTGCGTGTGCGAGAATGTTCTCACGGATGGATTGCGAAGAGTGAAAGTCCTTGGGATTATTGAACGTAAATCTGCGCACGAGCCTATGCAAACAGGATTGAAAGTCGTAGATAGTTTGGTTCCTATAGGCCGTGGTCAACGAGAACTTATAATCGAGGACCGACTCAACCTGATTGATCGTATGTATCACTCCGATAGATCCCCTACCAGGCTTGCCATTCTCAGGTGGGTTTGCCCTTGGCTGTATGTGATAGGGGTGCCAGCCGCCCACCGGTTGTTTATGGCTTTTCCATTGAGCGTCTTCGAGTTCGCCGTAACTGGATCAGAGAAGAATCTGAATTGTCCATTTCTTTACAATTCAGGGTGGCCTAGCCTGTCGAGTAAACAAGGTCTCCATACTTAAAAATGTTGAACAATAGAATCTTTATCGAGCCCCCACAAATCCCTAGTTGCTCCAAGTTGCCACAGTGGCTAGCACCAATGATCACTTTGTTGAGACGGCAAAAAGCTTGGAAAGGCTCTCAGAAACAATCATGGCTTACTGCACAAACATATATACACTAAATTATCTTTCAAATTAGAATGGCTGCGATCCACTTGAGTACTGGAACCCACTCAGGCCAACTTTAAGCAGCACCCAAATCAACAAATTGACCAAAATTGGACAGCAAAAAGTAGAAGCCAACCGAATCAATCATATAATCTGCTGGCAGTGAATAAGGCATAGACTAATGCAAGTTGCATTCATGACCAGAGTCTCGTTTTGGATCTGTGTACTGAAACGTACCTTTTTTCTTCCTCCAATATATATTTAACCATGGCATTGGCATGCAGACTGCAGAGCCACAGCAAAGGGACACTGGCCTTTATAAGAGGAGACAAAAGAGAGAGAAAGCTCATCACATTTCCTTTCAAACAGCATGAGATCTGCCACCAAAATTCTTCTGCTGATCCTCTGCTTGCCACTGGGTATCATGTTCATGTCGACATACAACGAAGAATTAGGATACTACGTGGGGCAGGGGACGCAGGAGTTCGATGTTCGTGTGATCAACGGCTTCACCAGCAACTCATCACTTCCCCTGATCATATGGTGCTCCTCCGGGGACAGTACCGTTGATCTGGGCGGGAGAGCACTCCAGGAACGTGACGATTTCGGCTGGAGCTTGAAGACGAAGCTCTACAGCAGCAGCATGTTCTTGTGTACTATGAAGTGGGATGCGAAGAGAAGGAAGTTCGACGCGTTTAAGGCGCCCAGGGACGTTCGCAGGTGCAGCCCTCTGAGGAAGTGTTCTTGGCTGGTCAGGGAGGATGGCTTCTACTTCAGTAACGACGAAGTGAATTGGAAGAAAGACTTCTCTTGGTCGTAGCTAGTTAGCAGTTAATGTTCTTTCATTTTACTTTTTTCTTGTGGGTTGTTTTGCTGTTGAGCCAGCCGACATGGGAGGCAAACTCCATGATTGAGATGGATCATGATGATGTGGATCTGTTACCTGTACTTTAGGCATTTTGTTATCTTCTTGTTAGTTGTTGTTTGTGGACGTTGTGGTCCACTCTTTTCTCCTGCTTACACTACTTCTGTTGCTTTTCCTCCGCTGCATCATCTGCTGCCTTGTACTATATAAACAGAAGAGTCAATAATAAGATAACCAAGCCTTGAGCACTTTTATGGTATCAGAGCATACCTAAACTCTAACGAGTCAAATTCCCTTCTTTTTTTTTCTTCTCTGTTCTGCCGTGTCTCACCATGGCCACCGAATCATCCTCTATTTCTTCCTCTTCTGCTTCTGGCGATTCCACCTCCATGCCGCCCACTCTCTGCTATCGCCCTACCAGCCAACCCCCAAACTCAGCATCAAACTCACACCAACCAATTACCTCCTATGGCATGCCCAAATCACTCCGCTTCTTCGCTGTCACTGTTTGATGGGCCATGTCGACGACTCTCTTCCGGCTCCACCGCAAACTGTTGATGGCCATTCCAATCCAGCCTATTGGACTTGGTATCAACGAGATCAATATGTCCTCTCTTGGATCAATTTTTCCCTCTCTGAATCTGTGCTGTCCAACGTCATCAATAAGGCAACGGCATTTGAGGCGTGGTCTGCACTTGCCACCATCTACGCCTCTGGTTCACAAATACAGATCCGGCAGCTCACCAAGGAGCTCCAAAACATCCGCCGCGGCAGCTCCAGCGTTCATGAGTATCTACAAAATGCCAAATCCAAGGCGGATCAATTGGCGGCACTCGGCTCCCCTGTCAAAGGCGATGATCTCACGGCTTGGATTCTTGATGGCCTGGGTGAAGATTATCGGCCTTTTGTGCGTCATAATGAAGCAAGGATGGAGCCAATTTGCTTCGAAAATCTACACTCCCTTTTGCTAAGTGAGGAACTCCAGATCAAGCGCTACTCTTACTCTTCGGAATCTCCGGCGCCGTCTGCTTTCTTCACCAGCGCAGGTGGATTTCGTGGTCGCGGAAACAGAGGGAGAGGGCGCGGCAGCCCTGGCCGTGGCCGTTTTTTCTAACCCTATGTTTGCTCCTCAATTTTATGGCAGGTCGAGCCCAACTGGCGGTTTACTAGGCCCTCGGCCCAATGGCCAGCCTGTGGTCTGTTTCAATTGTGGAGAAGAGGTCATATAAAACCTCACTGTCCCAGCCCAATTTCCCAGCCCACTTCACTTTTACAGCCCGCCCAGCCCATTCATCCTCGCCCTCCAGCTGCTGCTGCCGGCCCACATGCCTTTTATTCCTCTTCCCCAGCCCACACTTAGATCCACAACAATGGATTCTTGACTCAGGTACCCATCATCATCTCACCTCGGATTTGGACAATCTCGCTCATCATTCTGAGTACAACGGGACTGATACTGTCACGTTCGGCAATGGGAACTCTCTTCCCATTTCTAATCTTGGCTCTTCCACGATTTCGTTATCCAATGTTCCACTTTCCTTGGATAATATTCTTCATGTGTGTCATGCTCCATACAATCTTCTTTCTATTAGTTCTCTCACTCGGTCTAATCCTATATCCATTGAATTTTTTGATTCCCTTTTTCTTATCAAGGACCGACGCACGGGGCGTGAACTTCATCGCGGCTTTGCGGTGGATGGTCTCTACTCTCTTCCCCTCCATATCTCTCGTCATCTTTCTCCTGTCGCTTGTGTGGCTTCGTTTGACACTTGGCATCGTCGTCTTGGGCATGCTAATGCACGTGCGGTCAAGCAGGCTCTTCATCACCATCAAATAAAATACACTCATTCTCCTTCCTCCTTGTGTCACGGCTGTGCCGTTAGTAAGATTCATAAGCTGCCTTTTTCTGCTTCTACGTTTAAGGCTCAAGCCCCTCTCGAACTCGTTTGTAGTGATGTATGGGGTCCTGCACCCACTCTGTCTTATGATGAGCAATCCTATTACATTATCTTTTATGATCACTATAGCAAATTCTCGTGGATTTATTTCATTCGCTATAAATCACAATTGCTTAACGTCTTTATTCAATTCCGGCAATTGGTCGAAAAATATTTTGGTCTTCCCATCAAAACCTTCCAATCTGATTGGGTGGTGAATACCAGGCCTTATCCACCTATCTCTCTCAACATGGCATTGCTCATCGCTCCTCGTGTCCATACACTCCTGAACAAAATGGGTGCGCTGAACGTAAGCATCGGCATATTGTTAATAATGGTCTTGCTCTTCTTCATCAATCTCATGTTCCCTTAAAATACTGGCCTCTCGCCTTCGACACCGCTTGTTATCTCATAAATCGAACTCCTACTCCGCTTCTTGATCATGACTCTCCTTTCCATTTTCTTTTCCGTCGTGACCCCGATATTTCCAATCTTCGTGTTTTTTGGTGTCTTTGTTACCCCTGGCTTCGTCCCCTTACTCCAAACAAATTAGCACCTCGCTCTGTTCCCTGTGTCTTTCTTGGGTATAACAAACTTCACAAAGGTTACCGTTGCCTTCACATTCCCACTGGCCGTATTTATGTTAGCCGCCATGTTCTATTTGATGAGTCACATTTTCCATTTGCCGAGGTTCTCGCCACCATACCCTCCTTACCAGCTTCTATCTCCGATCCAGTCCTCCTCCCACCCCCCATTACTCATCCCGTTCCTCCCACCCAGCCCATTATTTCCACCACCCCCGCCCAGCCCATCTCCCCTCTTCCCCGGCCCATTTCTCTAACTCCGCCAGCCAACACCCAGCCCAACTCTCCTCTACCCCGGTCCACTTCACAACCCTCCCCCACTGTACCTCAGCCCGTTGCCCCTTCTTTATCTCAGCCTTCCCTCCAGCCCACATCCGCCCCATCCTCAGATCCCTCGTCTTCCTCCACGGCCCACGAGATTCAGGCCACGCCCCCCACACCACTGCCATCCTCCAAACCCAATCCTGCTCCAGTGCGTCCTCGCACTCCCCTGCCTCCCCGCCGCCCGATTCCTCAACGCCCTCCGTTTTCCACTTCTCCCCGTCCCCTCACAGTAACTCACCCAACCAGCTCCACTCATCCTATGGTAACCCGCATCAAAACCGGCAACCTCAAACCCAAGGCTTTTCTCACTCACCTCCACATCGATGACACTCCGACCACACTCAAACAGGCCATCAAAAACCCGCTCTGGCGCTCGGCTATGCAAGAGGAGATTGCTGCTCAGCTTCGAAATCAAACCTGGGATTTGGTACCGCCGCCGCCCGACTGTAATATACTCTCTAATAAGTGGGTCTATCGCACAAAGCTTCATCCTTCCGGCTCCTTGGATCGTTGCCGAGCTCGTTTGGTTGCTCGTGGTTATGAGCAGATACCGGGTCTGGATTTCGGACTCACATACAGCCCAGTTCTCAAACCAGCTACCCTTCGGCTGATCTTGGGGCTTGCGGTTACACAGGACTGGCCACTCCATCAAATCGATATTGCTAATGCTTTTCTTCATGGTCAGTTGCAGGAAACCGTCTATATGCAGCAACCAGCTGGCTTTGTTGATCCCGCCAAGCCTGATCATGTCTGTCGTCTTCGCAAATCTATATATGGGCTTCGTCAAGCACCCAGAACTTGGTTTCGTTGTCTGGCAGGGGCACTCACTCGATTTGGGTTTACGGTTTCCAGAACTGATCCTTCCCTGTTCATATACAAATCAGGTCCAGTCAGGGTTTATATGCTCGTCTACGTTGACGACATCATCATCACCGGTAATGGACTCCTCCTTTATTCAGCGGCTGTTCGCCTTTCTCGGCGAGAATTTTGCGCTTCGGGAACTAGGCAGCCTATCTTATTTCCTGGGCATCGAAGTGTGTCGCACATCCACTGGGATTCTTCTCCGCCAGCGCAAATTTATCCAAGACTTACTTGAACGGGCACATATGTCCGAGGCCAACGCAATTTCCACTCCCTGCACAA